GTGATGCCATTCCTGAAAACGGTCAGGAACAACCAGTCAAAGAATCTGGAGATAAAGATGGTGATAAAGACCAGACAAATTCTGTCAAAGTAAAGGAGGAGAAAAAAGATAAGGATCATGAAGGGGCAATCTGTAAAGTGTGCAGTGGAGATTACACCAAGAACAAGGATGGGCAACCAGAGGTTCTTATTCATTGTGCCCAGTGCACATCTAGCGGTGAGTCAAAAAAAATTATGCTTTGGATATGAAATAACATTATAAAGAAATGAATAAAAACAGTATAACGTCTTCAGTGTAAAGGTTGTCTCTTTTGACCACAGTGCCATATGTAAAAAATTCTGAGACTTTTCATATTGTAATTGCATAAATTAAATTTGTGGTATTTGAATTTTTCACTAATTCATCAGTATATTTTTCTGCATGTGGTAAGATGCTGCCAGTTCATAACTTTTCTTTTGACAAAGTGTTGCGTATTTATTCTGCTCTGGAACATCCAAGAAATGAAGGAATTGTAATTTGACCTTTTTTGCTTTGATTCTTTTGTATTATGTAGGTCATCCAAGCTGTTTGGACCTTACCCTGGACATGGTTCCGCATATCAAACGTTATGATTGGCAGTGCACAGACTGCAAGACCTGCATACAATGTAAAGATCCAGCTGATGAGGACAAAATGCTGTTCTGTGATATGTGTGACAGAGGGTATGCTTACATTACTGATGGTACATTACCAAAACAAAATTGTAAAGATTCTGTCGGAGTACATTGATGTTCCAAAAGTGTTTATAACAACTTTTTAAATTTGCTGGTTTTGGAGGTAATTTAAGTCTTCAACAACAAAGATTTCCATTTGTCCAAGAGTTTTTTTTAATTTGAAGTGACATACCCGTAAAGTTAATGACATGTGAAACTTCTTACTGATAAATTTCATTGTTATTTGATGCAGGTATCATATATACTGTGTCGGACTGCGTCGAGTTCCAAGTGGTCGATGGCATTGTAAGGAGTGTGCAGTTTGCGGTTCATGTGGAACACAAGAGCCAGCAGGGAACAGTGCAGACACACCCAATGCTCAGTGGCAGCACGAGGTAACACGCTGTGTTGTTATTTTATCTGTTATAAAGATGGACAACTGAGCAAATATATGAATAAAATTCCTGTTTGGTCTGTAAAAATATTACCCTTTGCAAAAGATGTATTATACCTTCTCAGATATTTTGATTCTCTTAATCTAAAAAAGTAAGAACTGAAGAGGAAAAGTGTTGAAAGGGTAACTTTTGATTTTACCAATTGAAGTGATTGAAGTTGCACTGTGCAGGACTGAAGGTCATATCTACAAATTGGCCCTTCTTTATGGGTCAGTTAAAATGAATATTAAGATGCTACAGGAAAACCTTTTAAACTTGTATGTGGTTTGTGAGGTAAAGCAACAGAGTCCTTTCTGCTGAACAGAGAGACATGCGTATGAATTCAGGTTCTCATGGTGGCAAGTATGAAGATTCTGTCTTCTAGGTTCTGGTGTATTGCGCCATGTTGTCATGACATTTTAAAGGTTCTCCTATCTGTCCAAGTGTGTGAATTTAACATTGTTATTATTCCTTTACTTTGTTTCTGTAACGTTATATGCATGACTCTGTTATAGTGTAATAAGGGATTTGTTAAATTGAAGTTTTCATTATGTTTAATGCTGTAATGTTACCCTTTTAAAGTGACATATTATATAATGCGCTGAATTGGAAATGAAAGAAATAGTTGGTATAATTAAATATTTGTTAAACAACAATAGCATGACAAATTTAATTTATAAAGTATGTTTATGTTTTCTTTATTAGTACAAGAAAGGAGAAAAAGGAACACGTGTATATGCTCAGACTCTCTGCGTCCCTTGCTCAAAGTAAGTGTTGCACTTGTTTTGTTAACTTTATGTATATAATTAACTCCTATGTACTTGTTTGCTTGTATTTTAGTTCTAACCACAATCTGATGCATGCTAAGTCAAGTAATTGCTGAATGATTTGCTAAAATTTTAATATCACTGTTCTCACCTTTCAGAAAAATATGCCACTCAAAATATAAATTCCAGGTTCTCAAAGCTATGAAGATATCGAGTGTAGTCTTCTGAGTTGTGAAGCCATGTTGTCTTGTAGGTGTTACCATTTATCTTCCAAAACACCTACAAGACCATGATTAACACATCAATATGTAAATTGATAGATGCAGTCTTTATGTGTGTGTGTGCGTGTGCGCGCACACACACACACACACACACACACACGTATATAGGGGGTCCCACAACAGGATGTCCCTAGTATAACTGTGTGCTCTTGGGATCATTTTGATTCGAAAAGCTCAAATAAACGTGGGTCCGATCTGCATCAGTTTGTCAAGAAAATGAGAATGAGTATTTTATTGCATTTGTAACTTTTACATTATTTCCATTTAATTTTAGGTTACTTTGTTGTTCTTGTTATTATTTTTATTATTGTTGTTATTGCTATTATTATTAAGTTTATACTATACTATAAATTGCATTTTCAGTTATGTTATTTGCGTGACTCAAAATGGCCACCTTGATTGTTGATGCACATTTGAGCCCTTCATTTAATTGAAGTAACAGCCCTCTTTACATAGTCATGATTATTTTTGATG